CTTAAGATGTTAGTTAACCGGTTTTCGGTTAAGTGTAATTGCTTCTGGTTCACTTTGTATGTGTTAACCGAAACAAACTTTAGCTCAAGTATAAAGAGCAAATGTAAACATTGAATGATCAATAACAGAATCTAATCTTTTCCGATCTTATCTTCTTCTTTCTCCTTCTTCTCTAACAGAACCGTTGCTTGTATACATTGTCAGAGTATTTCCAATACGAGACATCATTTTCCATTGTTCTCGATAATTTGGCCTTGTTTATGGCTTCCTCTATGTCGTTTAGATAATCCACTCGAGATAAGAACAATTTTAGTCAAGACGTAAAGGATATAAGAAAGAACCTCACAGTTTCTTCGACGTTAGGAAAAAATATATCTAAATTTATTATAACAAATTTCATAAAAAAAAATACTAAACATCGAGATGTTTTGTAATTTGTATAACATATTAGTTAAGGAAGTCATAGATTATAGAAGACTGGTGTGTGATGTGCGCAAATATTTGTGTTGCTCTTATTTGTCAATTGTCGGATATAGATCAACGTCCACGATCATAAAGAAACTGAGTGAAATTGCTAAAGCCCAACATTTTTTTATACAGCAAGTGAATTTTCATATTATAAAAGCGTTACCTGATTGGTTCAACTGGTCTTTTCGTATCCTTTATATATTAATAGAAGAGACATTAGGTGAAAATCCTAAGTATCATCCTAAGAGAGTTTTAAGGAATTCATTTCCTAATAAAAATTATTAAAAAATTTTAATAACAAATATATAGAAATAACGAATATGTGGTAATTAATATAGATAATTTTATTTAAAAATATAGAAAATATTTGAAAATATCTTATTTTCTTTTCAATAATACTAGATTTTTTTATCCGAGTTAAAAAGGGTATTAAAATATTCAAAAGCAAAAATTCATAATTATTTTTAATAGATGGGAGAAATGAAAAACAACAAAGATAAAATATATTTATGTTTGATCAAAATTTAGCTTTATTATATGTATGCACAATACATATCATTTTTTGTGTTTATAAATGTTAGAATACACGTCTAAATATTATATAAATTCGATTAAAAACATATTTTATTATTTAATCCCACGTTTGGCGTGGGTCAAAACCTAGTTTATATAATTAAATTACGAAATTTCGATGGTTCAGAGAGTAAAGGTCGGTTGCTCTTTTTATATAAAATTGATCTCTTAGCTGCTTTTTTGGTTAGGCAAACATATAGCAATCCACTTCCATTAATTTGAGTATAGAGGCTAGTTTTCAAATTTCTACAAAGTTAAATTTATTTTAAATTTGGAATAAATTTTGAGGGTATTAATCAAAATCTTCAAAAATACATTCGAAACAAAGCTTCTCTAATTAATTTTACAAAAACGTCAGTTATTAATTACAAAAACAATTAAGTTTTATATTTTTGAATTTGATGTTATAAGGATATATTTT